ACACATTTCCAGACTCCGTGCTACTATTGCGATTTATTATGCACGACCCGGGAATCGAACCCGAGACCCCTTTCCTGGCAGGCGCACTTGCGACTACTCCGCCAACGAGACAGTATTAATATAATTTCCCAAAAAAAAACAGAATTTAATAAAAATTTAACACACGAAGTACAATCATATTTCCTCTTGTATTTTTCCCGCCACTACTATCTAGTCCTGGGATTGGCATTGTTGCCTCTAAATATTTTAGTAATAAAATATTAAATCAATTTTAAAACATAAATATAACTAACGGACCCCGCAAACTTTAGTTTTACCATGGAATTTATCTGCACATCTTTATATTTTTTTTCTTACATAAGTAAACATTTTTATTTTCCAAACGATAGCAAACAAAACAAAAAAAGAGTTAGCGAAATGTAAACCGGTGTCAATTTCAGTTCGATAAATAAAGCTGTGTAAAATGAATGACATCTGACGCCATCGTACTCTTCCTAAATGACACAGACAATAAACAGTAGATATTCGGGCAATGCTTGTTATCGATTGTAGATATATAAACGAATAGATAGACTGATCTGATGCGTATATCACTTACCATATGACACGCTAATGATAAAATAAGATGTTTCATAAAATACGATACTACAATTTGTAGATATGTGATAGACAATAAATCAAAAACCATGACAAAACTGTATTTATCAAATTGCACAATTTTATAGAGTAATATGACAACAACATATCCAGCAGATGCACTTAAAATGAGTATAAGATTGGCGTACTCATTCATTGTAATAAATGCGATTAAGGCTAATTTCTTATGCTCAATAAATGGAAGTTTATTATTATATATAACACTAAATAACTAATAAATAAATACTTAAATATTTTATTTGATAATTATTGCTGACGATTTCACATTAAGCCACATTCAAATTCAAATATGGAATATCATGAGGCTCATTAATGCCAGTTGATATTACAGATTTTACCTAAAGATAAATTCACATAAGGCGCGAAGCAACAACTTTTATGAGTCTTAGGTTTTGTACTCAATTGAGGGCGCTAATAAGATGTAAGACGTTGGTCGTCCATGAATCCAATAATAGATGACTGACTAATGGTTGGAAATTACAATTCAGTCTCATTACTCAAGAACCCAGACTAGTATCTGTCTAGTCTAGTGACTAGCACATCCAGTGAACACTATTAACCTCTAATTAATTCCTCGTTTTAGTGTTCACTAGTTGGCGCCTCTGACGAGTAAGGTCTCATCGAATCACTCTGGGCGTTATAACGGAGTTATGAAGAAATTGGATTAAGTCAAAAGACCGACAATGATGAACAGATCTTATTCTACACCAACGCCCATAGAAGGGATTGTAGGTATTTTGTGCATAACTACCTACCCAGTTTGTTAAATGTATTACTTTAGGCATTTTGTTCAACAATAAGAGTAAACATTATGTATAATCATATGTGAAAACACTTGCAAATAGATAAACAGCTTAAATATAGCAGAATAAATAATTTCCAGATACAATTTTATACCTCCACAATCCACATGTAACAATCATAATAATAACTGATAAGTTCCTCTTGCTAGTTTATTTGTACTTATTAGAAATGGTTATTTGTACGGCAAAGAATATTTTCTTGCCATTCATTACAATAGAGACCTATATTTCACTATTTATTAGACAACCCATAATTGTGAGACCACTGGATTTATAACAACACACTATTTAAATACAACCATAATCAGATCTTTAAAGAGATACAAAGTTTAAGCAAAAATATATCATAGTTTCGAGTACATAAAGTTTAAACTACGTCACAGAACATTTAAATTGTGCATAATAGTAATAATTAAGAATATAAATTATATTGCAGGTGCAGCTTAAAATAAAATATTACGACTAATAAATAGATTTAAGTTAAAATATAGATAAACAGCTAATACTACAATATAAAAGCCTATAAAACCAGACACCAAGACTTAGTTATGTCGTAATACTCAAACGCTACTCAATTTAAGTCGCGCTCAAATATAGTTCTGTCACTATATAACCTCCTCCTTTTTTGGAAGTCGGTTAAAATTTTTTTGTAAAATGACAGAGATAGAACGATATTTAAGTGCGACTTAAAATTGAGTAGCGTTTCTGTATTCGGGCGTAAGTGAAATCGATTTTTAATTTAAAGAAAGTAAAGACAATATATTGATTTGAAATTTATATTGATTTGAACTGAAGCAATTAATGGGCGTGCATGTAAAATTATGTTTTTTGTCAACGCCATCACGACAATCATTGTAAAAAACCTAAACAAAAAATTAAATTATTTAAACAACAGATTACGAAAACACCAACCTGGCGTCTGGATTTTGATAATTTAATAAGTTATAATAATATTCAACAACAATATATTACTTAAATTTCATACAAACAAAAAAGTGCGTTCATTACGCAAGTGTAATTATATATAGGTACAGTACAGAGATTCACAAGATAGTTAAGTATTTAATACTTTTCATAACATCACAATATAGAAATACAATAAAACTATCCAACTAGAACACTGAGATATGTTAGCAAGCAACTTTTTTGTTGCGGCAACATCAGGAAATAAGCGTAAGCGAATAATATTCAAATTAAGAAAACTTGAATGTACAAGGCTCTAAAGTAATTCGGGGATTGAATGAATAGAAAAATCGACCAAAGTAATATAATTACAGGCAAGTTACTTTAAAATTCAACTTTGCGAGTATTTGTTAGAAAGGAATAATTATTGCTGAAATACCCATTTTTTATTTCGATAATCAATATTTACGGAACATTTACAAAACACGAAATGCATTTGAACAAACTGAACAAGAGAAATTATATCTTAATACAGCTTTCTTTGACTTTGAATAGTATACAAACTTATAGAAATCTATTTGTGGTAAAACCAGGGTTCAAGGTTCAACAAATCTGCCCCTGATCTGACATGCCTGGTCTTTCCCTACGGACACTACATCTATTATTGAGAAAACAATGAAACATTCAATTACAGATCCACTAGTTAAACATAGATACAACGATGATAGAACATATCACACCTAGGTAAAAGGAATACATTTAGTGCAAAATAAAGTAAAGTAAGGTACATTATACTTGGTATAGTATTTTTTTTTATTTCTGACATAATGACACCACGATATTTTGATCGAAATATTATGTTAAACTAAATATAATACGACACCCATTTGGAACATATCTAAGTAATTGAAACCAGTTGAAAACTGTTAAAACATTATATTTAAATTTATGTATACAGTTTTAGGGTAAAGAAGACTTTTTAACTACGAACTAAATAATAGGGGAATGCATGATAAGGAATATATTACTGGAATAAATGTTTTAGTAAGAAAGATGATATTTTAATTGAATGATAATTATTTGAAAACGAGATCGAAGTACATTACACTCAGTCTTCAAGGTAAAGGAATGATCAAATGAAGATTAGAACTATTTTGGGAATAAGGTTCGCAGTTAGCACAATCACACAATTAAAATAATAATACAAGATTTAGACACCCATGTCTACTTAGATATTAATAGAAGTTTTTCCTGGGCTGAATTAACGACCATTAAAGATGTATTTGCTTTTTTATTCTACGTAAAAAGTGGAATATACTCAGTGACGGATTATCCAAGTAGATAAAGCAGCGAATCCTACGAACCTTTTTATGTGAACTGAATAGGTCAGTTAAATTAAAATCCCTAAGACAAACCAAAGGCTTCTTGATAGAAATTGTTCCAGGCCCGCGCTGAACTAACCCGACACTGAATATACCAATTTGTGGACAGACAACCACTATAAAATTAAATGAGACTTTGGGAAAAAATGTAGATTATACATTCTATAGAATAGACAAAGCACAATTATGTAGTACATACATATGTACATCAATCGTACTTAATTTAGTGTAATTGCATGTATGTTAAGGTGGACTAGGACGTGGAATACAAAATGGTAGAAGAATAATTAAGAAGTAAGTTTTTCATTGAACCGTATCTGTTGAAGATTATATTTGAGGAGGTATTTATTTTGGAAAATAGGTTTTTGTGACACATTAAGAAGAACAGAACAGGTAGACATTTTCATAAAATCTCAATAAATGCATAATCAAGAATTCGCGCTAAGAATAACTTGCATAAATGCGTTGGTTATGCATTATTTAACACTGAATAAATGGATCGTATTTGTATCAAAATTGCTTATAAAAACATTTGCTGTCGCTCTAAGACAGATACAATAGGCTAATACGAGGCTAAAATAAGTTATTTTGTCATAAATTGTTTGAATACTTATTGTTTATTTATTTTATTGTCATTGGTGTAAAATAGACATTAAATGAAAACAAAAACTGTGAATAAGCTTAAACAATAAGTTTTTAGATTATTTAAAGCCCAATTTCACTATTTTTGTACTTTTAGGAGCAACTAACTATATGTGGAACAATAATATTATTGCACTGTGTGACATATAGCTAGTCTGTGTTTATGAGGTAGGATAGGTCCAAATGTAAGAATTTTCTTAAATCAGTAACATTTATGTAGGGAAGCTGTTTCTACATTATTTTTAATAGATTTGATACAGATTCCTGTTTTTTTCTTTGCCTTATAATAAAATACTTCCATTTTAGTGATATTGGGCCAAAGGTAAATAAAGTAAATAACTCAATTATATTAACGCAGAGCTTAGCAACACCTACACCGTCCGCATTAAAAAAATGACTGTTTTCTCTACTAACTAAAATATGCACCTATGTTTCAATTGTCAAAACTTAATATCGTCAACGGAACTTTACAATCAGAAGTACCTATTTTCAAATATAACAAATCTTCAGGTTTAGGTTAAAGGTTCAGGTTTCATTTAGGAAGCCAAACCATTTTGTCAAAATGGCGGACAGTAAGGTGTGTCAAACTTCATAAACTTACATCTGAATATATTTAAGGTTTCCTTACTAGCAAGCAACACGAACTCAAACCAGCCTGCATCTTCGCAAACTCCGAAAAACAGATGGATCTTCTAGCGAAGTCGATTTTTTCACAGAACACCTGAAACATACGACCTTAACGTCAATGATATGCCATACATTTGTTGCTGTTGTGCTAACAAAGGTCAAGAACGGTTATGCTAAGATGGTTTGAACACGTTGAGAGAATGGTCGAAAGTAGTATTACAAAAAGTTTTTATTATAGACATGCTGGGTTACCCATTTCAAGCCTGTCTATATTGTATTGATTGTTCAATCTATTATTGTAAAATAACAACATTCAAGTTCTAATTCACATGTTGTGATTTATCAGTGACTGTAAACCGCGGCATCAGCACCAAGTTGTATTTGTGAAATACCACTGGCTGGTTTACAGAAATAGAAAAAAAAAAATCGATCTTTCATCAATATAGGTAGAAACCTAGTTGACGTTTATCGCGTGTCTGTCATAGTTTTGCAATACAATACTGTTATTTGTACTGATTTTGGTGTGTTCTGCGTTGAGTCGAGCCTTAGTTTTTAGTTTAGTTCCTTCGTAATTGCTGTGAATCCATTGAAAATAAACATACTTTTAACGCCGCTGCACTGTGTGTGTTGTTATTACTAATAGCTGAACTTTGTGAGTGCTCATAAATAAGAAAAGAAATAATCATATAAGAAATAAAAAATAATAATTCTTTTATTTATTGTATTTGTTTTTGTGTGTTTTCCTTCCCTCTGAATTTATAAAGGCCATTTCATGATACCTACCACGACTATGATTTGAGTAGGACCTAGATATAACACTGAGCGATTGACTATTTTAGTAACGCTTCCTTTCCTTTCCACTAAAAATGCGCAAAATCTAAATCAAGACTAGGTGAGGTAGACACATGTGTCCACCGTTACTGGCCACAAGACATAGCTAAAACGTTACAGATTTTACACAAATAAATATGCTTCAAAGATACCCGAAAGCACACCCGTAAACCCATTCAGACCCTTTTATCAGTTGATTTTTGGTCGGACATAACCTCAAAATAGTAATTTCATTTTGTGAATATCTCAAAAATGCCAATGTTATTTTGTGTTAAATCTTTTGAGTTAGTATTTGGACATGCCGCCGAGTATTTTAAAGATGATTTCATGGAGACACAACAATGTTGAATTCAGTACATTTGTCCATAGTGCCGTGGGCATTGTCCTTTATTTATTTTAAATGTGATCTGTTTAAGTATAAAGGTAGATAAAAAATACATTACGGTTTTATCCTGTGTGTGAGTGTGTTTAAAACACAGTATCCAAATACATAAACACACGCAAACACGAAAACGCAATTACGGGATCACACAAAGGCCCTTTTCACACTCCGGTTGCCAGATAGTCGAAGCGTATAAAAGGTCTAAATAAGTAATTCTTTGGGCCTTGGGCAGTATTAAGGTGTACAGCAGTCAGTCACCCACGCGCCATAGCGCCAACCGTGTAGTCATTATTTAAAACATAGCTGATATCAAATTAATATTGCAGAAAAAATATACCTTGAATGCTTCAGGGATTTCCTCAATAGCCCTGTGTATTAAAGTACCATTAACATAAACGCAGTTGGCAGCTTCGTCTTCTGGAACCGTCAAAGTTTGATAGGTAAAGTTAGCCTCACGTTCGATCCTCTTAAGCAATTCTTTGGCTTCCTTGCTAGCACTAACACATAGGACATCAGGGCCCGCCATCGTAATATACTTCTTTAATTCTTTACAACCTTTGGATATCTGAAATTTTAACAATTATATCATAGTAATCTTCATCACCATATTAAACTGAGTTAAGCCCCATTTACACAAGTTTCTTGCCTGTTTGTTTGTTTGCTAACTTGGATGGTCTAAACAATACGCAACATTCTAGATCTTTTTATTGTTATTTCTACTTCTTGGTGTATTTTAGTCAATAATTGCATTTAATTTTAGTGTATGAACAGTTGCTTACAATTTTTGGAAGTAAATAATTACGTCTTTTTTATTGTATTTCTTTGCTCTTTTTTGTACATTTAAATGGTATCGTGTAAATGGGTTTTTTAGTATGAAGCTTTTTTTTTAATTGGTGACCTTTTTTAATGCACGCCAAGGAGGTTCAGGTTCATTCGTTGACAGTAAATTCAAACTGGCAAGGGCAGCTAACATAACATAACATCACGCCTTTTTATCCCCGAAGGGGTAGGCAGAGGTGCACATTTCGGCATTTAATACCACTGTACAATGTAACACTATTTATGTTATGAGTCCCATGTAATAGGGGGTAAGCCTATTGCCATATACCGGGCACATTTCCAGACTCCGTGCTACTACTGAGATTTTTAAAAACCCAGTAAAACTTTGCCCGACCCGGGAATCGAACCCGAGACCCCTTGCCCAGCAGTCGCATTTACGACCACTCGGCCAACGAGGCAGTCTAAGGCAAGGGCAGCTATTTTGTAAATTATGCTAGTGTGATTATTACCTAAACAAACTATAAACGACAACTCAGTGGTACGATTCAGGGGTATCGATTACAATTGGTAAATAATGCGGATCTTTCCAAAGTGCGTTGGGTGTATAATATCGCCAGAATCATTGGAAGAAGATGGCTGAGAGATAGGTACACTAAACTGAGAAGTATGGTAGAAATAAAAGGCAGGCATGTGCCTAGATGTGGAAGAACGGAATAAAACATTAGAAAATCTCAATCAGAGAATTATCCGATAAAATTATATGTCTACTAGCTTCTGCCCGCGACTTCGTACGCGCAGTCTCGAAAAAAATTTAGGGGTTGAGTACCCCTAACATTTAGGGGGATGAAAAATAGATGTTGGTCGATTCCCATAGATACCAGATAAGCACAAAAAATTTCATCAAAATCGGTCAAGCCGTTTCGGAGGAGTATGGCAACGAAAACTGTGACACGAGAATTTTATATATTAGATTAGGTATCATCATCCGATAGGTCGACGACAAAAGTTATTTGTGAGTAGTAATTTTTAAGAACAAACTCGGTAATTTTATGTCGTTTATTCGTCGTATATTTGCATAACAAGTCTGGGTCATATGCTAGTTTCTCAAATGCTAATGTTGTTCAGATTATAGATGTAATAATAACTAAAATAAATTCCATACTATTTTCCTGTTAGGCTGTATATTTAATGTGAAAATGAATTTTAAAACACGTGTGTGTACGAGGTGACGGTTCATTGGGTTGCGCACGCGCGTAAGACACAAACCGTAATCGAAATGCTGCGTTACATTGGTAATAATTACAAAAAAAAAGCTCGGGTATATTAATGAATAAGGTTTTCTGCCTGCAACTGCAGCCTCAAAATTTTGTTTATGAATAAAGATACTCGTCACAATTTCTTAAATATTAATTATGTATATTTTTCTTTAAACAAACAGACGTAAACTTTTTTTATAATAATTTTAATTTTTTATGATAACTACATGTTTATTACTAAATCCTAATGTATTCACAAAACTTACCTTTATAGGTGTGCATGGAAATTCAGGAAATGTTTCAGCTACAGCACTAGCTCCAGCTTCATTTGTGTTTTCAGATATGCCAACAAAGAACTCTCGGCCTGAAACACATAGATGCAAACATCATGGAACTGCAAACATAATCAATTATAATAAAAGGTCATGTCCATTTATGTTCCCTATTAGTGGTAAACAATGGTGAATAGAGCAAACACGCTTACGTTTTGATTAACATAAATGGATTAATTCCAACCCTTTAAGTTCAGAACACAACATCAAGTTATCTACGATTACTCCTCAAAGCATCAGGCAGCAATTTACATAGCATTAAGGAGTCAAAAGTGAACCACTTAAGCAGTTGCTATTCTTAATCCTCAAACAGACCATATTGTCTATTTATTGATCATATGGATCCATTGAATAGAAGTTGATTGTGCCTTGATTTAAAAACTATTTACCTGTGAACAACACATCTGCACACGAAATATTGGCATCGGGATCTACTTGATCAATAACAGTCTGGCCCAATTCGTTTTGCAATATTTCTTTTAAAATTTTTGTCTGAAACAATAGATAACCGCATTTCAAACACTGTTTTCTTTTATTATGTGGTCTGGGCAAGAAGCTTACATTGAGCCAGTTATTCCTGATATTCGATAGAAGTATGTCCAATTTCAGACAATTTAATTCAATGAATAGGTTCAATATGTTGCAATTGCAAAATTACAAGTTATAGTTATTTTTCGCCATAGCATGAGCGCGAAGCATCAGACAGTATTCCAGAGTAGTGGAAACTACAAAATTACATAATCATGAGTAATTCCCTTAATTAAGGGATCAGGTCTAGATGTCAATTTGCAAATATGATTATGAGGTCACATTAATTTACTTCAAAGGCTTAATTAGATAAAATATGCATCAATCATTGTATGACATAATACACGTCAAGATTTAAGACACTATTGTAGATCCTCTGGACAAATGTAATTCAAACAATATGGCAACAGATTAAATTTCCAATAATAATAGTTATATTTTTTAATAAGATAATGACAAAAACATTATTAGTAGAGTGTGTCAATAAAACAATTGTTAATGTCAAATTACAACTTAACTACTAATGAGTGCTAGTATTGTTGCCAATAATTTTGCAGCAACTGTGTGAGATGGACTTCTAAATAGATTTTAACAAAACTATAAACAGATTAATATTTTGTGGTATGTGTGGTTTAAATTACAACCAGTGTTCATGTCAAAAAGCCCAAAAATTTGAAATATTTGTTTATGTCTAAGTATAAATATCAACATGGCTAACTGATTTATTTTAACACTACAGTAGGTAAATCAACTTAACATTCTAAAATTATTACAGGATAAATGACCTGAAAATAAAACAATTATGTCACACCATGTTGCATATACCTAGTGAACTAGTCTAGAAATAGAAATCTCTCCTCGACGGAAAACAATACTGAAAATTAATAACTTTGATATTTTAATATGTTTCTTTCACTACTAAAATAAAGGATAACCATATATCAGTTTTAAACAATACACTTTCTGTGAAAAACATGTTAATTTGTCAAGCTGGTACAATATATTATTCAAATACAATAATTCGCCAATTGCCAGTGCTATTTATAAGCTAGATTAATAACATTCTCCAAAAAAAACAAAATTTCATTAGTATTAAACAAATTGGAAAAACAAATTGGCTTCAATAATAGTACTGATAGTCATGTAGTGTATCAGCAATAACCATATTTAAACTGTCAAACACCGCGAGGACACCGGTGACCGCAACCTACTGTTGTTAAATAGGCTAAAAGACAAATACAAGATTACTTACATTGTAAGCTTCAACCGACGAATTGTTCCTTGGCAGAAGGGCAATACCATGGCAAGCAATTGCTAGATTTTCCAGCAAGAGCTTATCACTCAATGAACCTTGCAAATTAACTTCAACCACTTCTAAATTCAACTCCCTCAACAGTCTCAAATAGCACTCATGTTGACGCCGTACTTCGTCGAATTCAATACCATCTCCAGAGCTGGACCCAGGAGTAGCTTTGCCCACTAGAGCGTGGGTAAACTCGTGCATCTTGAAATCCATTTAAATTAAATATGATTTTGCCAATTCGCTTCTTGTCGATTTATTGTTATGAGAATCCCAACTGAACTGCACGTAGGAGTGTAATTATGTATTATGTCGTTTCGGACGGCAATTTATAGCAGCTAAGTACTCAGTATGCTACCCTACACAAGTACTTCGTCCAAACCTAACATGATACACAGAAGCGATATTATTATTTAAATCTAAAACTTAATGGTATCAATAAAGACCAGGGCAATAATGCGTTCTTTGTAAAAGTAGAAATTAAATTATTTTTCAGTTGATGAGATCCGATTTTCCTGTCAAGCAAGTGTCAACTCTAATTGTCTACTGGGTGTCACCGGTGTCACCAAAGAGTACCTACCTACTTAAAAAAAAATAAGTATAAGGGAAGTGACACCGATACCGATACCGATATTGGCGCTAGTCAGTACCGTTCGATTTTTTTTAGGCTATTGAAGTTTGACATTAGTCATTTGAAAGAGGCACTTGAGACTCTTGACAGAGGCAAATAATAATTAAATACCAAAAGTTTTGGGCAGTGAGGCAGGGAGTAAAGTGTATGTAGTGCCGATTCATGATATTGTAACTTTCTTTTACTTTAATACTAACAATCATCATCATGATCTTTAGGCCCGCCGTAAGCGGGCGTGCAAAACGTGGACAGCACACGGGCGCACGACTATGGGGGCGGCAAATCGAACGACTCATTACTATTCAAAATCATTGTCCAGAATAAGCAGAAAGCATAAGAAATATCATCGCCAGGAAAAACTCCCACTCAATGCAAGGAATATAGGGCCTTTACATACGTTTTTTAACGCGCCATCGACGCTTGTTTTGGGAACGCGCGTCGCCGGCGCGTTTATATCCTGCAGAGCAGTTTGTTATCGTTTGTATCGATACAACCGCGCGGCACTACGCGGGTTCCCCCGCAACGAGGGAAAGGAAAGTGTGAATCTACGCCAGAAGCAATCGAGCGATTTGGTACACCGCAAGTCTTTGGAACAAAAAATGGAGCCTTTCGACACAGAAAACGCCATCTTGCTACTGCTGACGAGGTTCTGCTGAAAAACGACTTTCTAAAACTAAAAACACTTTCGACAGTTACTTAAAATCTATTGAGCGTCCTCGATCATTTTCTAGAGTTACTCCATATCTATCAAGTCTCCTCTATCATTTTCGAGAGGTAGCAAGAGACGGTTTGGGTGTAGTTTGTTGGGATCTCCGGCCACCCTAGCTCAGCACCTGACAAGTACCCGAACCGAACGTACGGGTACGGCACGTCGTGAAAAAGACGGGCCTCAAAGAGCCATCAGACCACCATATACGGGGCCCATCAGGATTGTTGCCTTGTTGGAGGGTAGGTTGTCATGTGGGTACTGAGGCCCTGGCTTTGAGCATGTATTGGAAGGAATGGGGTGGTTTTTAGTTAGTAAGAGTGGTAATAGTCACTTCCTCAAGAGTCATTTGATGACTTTTTACCCACCCAACAAAAAGAATCACGCAGACGCTCGAATAGGTAGAGGCGGGCCTGATCAACTTCCTCGTGATTTATAAGATAACGCTTGGTCGACGGACTAGCAAGCTAAATAATACAAAGACGCGAATGAATTCGCCATTAGAGGCGGCAGTGACTGTATAGTTTAACGAATAGTTTAATTTTGACGACCTATTTATCCAAAGAAGCGCCCAATTATAATTGGGTTTCGAAACAAAGCAGTAAAGCTTGGCAAAAACGATTTCGATGCGGTGATAGCTGGAACTAACATTGCTTGGACTGAATCCCCCACTTCAGACCATGTTCCATGAATAGACAATGAGTCTCATGGTCAGACGTGTTCTATCGTAGGCCGCATCATCGCTTACCACCAGGCAAGATAGGGCCAAACGTCGACCTAATAAATATAAAAAAAACATATAACCAATTAAACCAAAGTTGTGACAAGTAAAATACTAGCGACCTCAATTATTCTAAACTTTTGCTTGCCAAACTGTAAATGCTGTATTGTACCAAATGTAACGAACGGTATGATACGAAAAATACCGATACGGTTTAATTACTAACATTTTTAGTAAAACTAGATTTATCCTGCTGAAAGTGTTATAGACGTCAAAAAATATGTTTACACACACGTTATCACTTATCACACCACCTTCGAGGTATTTGCAAAGCTGTTGAATAATCTTTAAAATTTTTGAATAATTATTTTTATCTCAAAATTGGTGGCATTTAGGAAAAAAGTAAGTATCAGGACACTTTTGTACATAATAATTTGACCAACAATTTTGTCCTCAGATTAAAATTATTTTATGATGAAACTTACAGTTACGCTGAAAAATCGTGAAATATCTATTTTTGTGATCTTTGCCCCTTGTTACTCATTTTTTCTTCAAGTCTGATCGATGCAAACATTTTTCCATTTCATTTTATGATAACTAGTATATTGCTCACCTTAAACAGTTTTCAGCACGGTGTGAATTATTGTAAACTCAGATGTCTAAATTGATCAGTTTTTTATTTTCAAAAATTACTATTATCGTTTCTAAAATATATTATACCATCAAGAACTTAAATATATTTCATTTATTAAACTAGATCTGTTCATAATACAAGCATCTTAAAATAGTACATTTATAAAAATACAAAATACCAATTGTATGATATCGGTATAATACCGAGTCTTTTGATATTATACGGTACAACACTAGTCATTGGATTCTGTCTGTAGTGTCATTTGTCGCATGCTTGTTGGCAGCAAATGTCACTGTTCAAAGTGTCATTCAATGACGTCTTAAAGCTATACGACGTACCTATCGTTGTGTTTACTACTTCCCGGGTTTTTGTGTCATCTCCCTTTTTCCTTCAATATTTTTATTATATTGTCTGCGTTGCACAAGTCGTAAGACCAACGTAAGACGTACATGGACATATATAACGTATTTGTATACTGTAAATACATTTAGATAAGAAGATTATAGTTAATACCGCCTCATCTATCAAATAAAACTCGTATTTACAGATAACAACTGCATTGTAAAGATTAATCCGTACCTAACGAGTATAGTGTGTGATCATAATAATGTCTGAATATGGAAAATTCGGTCCGCTAATTGGTGCCATTGACGAGGGCACCTCAAGTGCGCGCTTTATTATTTTCAAAGCGAATTCTTCAGAAGTTGTAGCATACCATCAGAAAGAGCTTGAGCAAATTTTCCCTCAAGAAGGATGGGTTGAACAAGATCCGAACGCAATTTTAGAAGTGGTTATGACATGCATACAGAAAGCAGTTGAGACTTTGGTGTCGTTGGGAGGTTCAGCTAAGGTTTGTGTTTATTATTTCACTCTAATTTTTGGAGGTACATTACAGCTTATTTATAAAAATCCAACATGTATTTAATTAATGAAGTACTGCAGCAATGAAATAGTTAATTTAAAGATAAATAAAATAATTGATATTAGTTATGTTAATGAAATTGTTTAAGTAGTTATTACTGTCTGAAACTAGTTTGGATTGGGAGGTATTCCTTATTCTTTATCCATTAGAATCTTGAGCGATGACAGATGTAATGCTTGGGTTATAACATGTTTTATTTTAGTGGAAAAAGACAAGGTTTTTATTGAAGACTCAAAGTCAAAAGTCAAAATCATTTATTTCAATTAGGCCAGAATGGCACTTTTGAACGTCAACAAAAACAAAAATTTAAAGTGAAGCTATTTGCTCATTCCAAGGCGCAGATTCCTATGGAGAAGAACGAGCAAGAAACTCCATAGGTTACTCTTTTTCAATCAGGTCACAATACAATTTACTAGTTACATAGTTTTGCTGTTTGGATTGTGCGAGAACAATGTAACACTAAAATCCAGTCAAAGTGATCAAAAAAGAAAATAACCTTAAGGACAGTAATACAGTCTGGAGCTGACCAGTCCCAGTTGACGGCGCCCGTTCACGAACATGACACGTACACCAGCACCGCCCAACTCAACCATATTGTAGGGAATCGAGCGATCCACTGCACGCGCCACCGCCAATGAGACCTTTGAGTGAGCATGACAACTCCAAGCTGACACAAATGAAATCTACTAATCTAATTTAATATTAAGTTAATTACAGGGCTCTCACATTTACAATGGTTATCTAAGTTAAACAATATACAATTTAGCAATATGGCTGTATTATTTACGATTTCATTAAAACAAGTGTTTTTAGTTATCCTGTGGAGCCGGACTAGCCTGCATCCAAGCATTTTTATCCTCTATATATTCATTAAGTTTGTAATATGCTTGTCTACATAAAGTTTTCTTTATACATAATTTAAATTTCGATTCATTTAGTTGTTGTACATCGCCTGGTATCTTATTATAACATTTAACACAGAATCCCATGAACGACTTACTTACTTTCGCTAATCTCGAAATTGGCTGACTTAATCTATTCTTATGTCTAGTTTGATAGTGGTGTCTGTCCGACACTTTACCAAATAACTGTAGGTTTTTCCTAACATACATAATGTTTTCATAAATAAATTGACATGGAACGGTCATAATGTTGATCTCCTTAAACCTTTCTCTGAGTGATTCGCGACGACCTAGATTGTAGATAGCTCTGACGGCACGCTTTTGTAAGATAAAGATAGATTCAATGTCAGCAGCGTGTCCCCACAGCAAGATGCCATACGACATAATGCTATGAAAGTAACTGAAATACACTAGTCTTGCCGTGTCTATGTCAGTTAACTGTCGTATCTTCCAGACAGCATAAGCTGCAGAGCTCAATCGTCCCGCTAATGATGTAATGTGAGGACCCCATTGCAATTTGTCGTCTACAGTAATTCACTTACTGACTTAAAATGTTACACAACACTTTATAATTACTAGCTATTTCCACATGATTTCACCCACTCTGTTCGTTTCCTATTGATTTTTTTGCTATGTTACTTAGCCTATAGCCTTTCTCAATAAATATTCTATCCAACACAAATGAAGTACTCCGATAGGACCAGTATTTCCGGAGATTAGCATATTCAAACAAACAAACTCTTCAACATTAATAATACTATAAGATAATAAACATGATATCACTGTTCTAAAGACTTAGATTCTTGGCTGTGTAGTTTCCTAAAATAAGTTGTTAAAATTACAACATAAACATAAGATCACACCTTTTATCCGAGAAGGGGTAGGCAGAGGTTTCACTATTTATTTCTACTGTACAACATGACACCCACTTTTCACTATTTATATTAAGAGTCCCAAGTAATAGGGGTGAACCTATTGCCACAAGCACAATTCCAGACTCCATCAATACCATTTTAGGAATCAAACCTGAGACCCGTTAATACTTTGCCCGACCTGGTAATCGAACCCGAGACCCCTTGCCCGGCATTTGCACTTGTGACCGCTTGGTCAATGAAGCAGTCAGTCTCAGCCAATGATAAATTATTATTATTGATGTGACACATTGTATAATAATTATGTCTCAGTTGTATGTATTCATACCTGTTGGCTCATAAATATTTATAACCTTCAAGTTATTTTAGTTAATAATAATAAATTATGCAATTTTATTGATTCTTACCTACTTATTACTTTTCCAGTTCCAAATACATGGGATAAAAGATAACCCAACCTAGAGATAAGCTTTAGGTGCATTCATGTTATGCTGACTTTAAGAAATGATTAACCTTATGATCAAATATACTTTCATTTATCTATCTATTATAATAAATATTAGGTACAGTACTGACCTCCTTGGTTCAATCATAAGATTGATTCTGACTTTAACATTTTGCATTCCGACATCAGGTTGAGTGAAATATTACAGTGGATCAATACTCTTGCCGATTCTAGTGGATACTGTTACTTTCTTACTGCTTTCTAAACTAAACTACATTAAGTTTTTAATAACAAGCTAAAAGTAGTAATCCGCTAAAGATAGTGTTCCTCCAATTTGTTATTTAATGAAAGGCATGTCAGTTATTTGTCTGTCCAATTGAATAGTCCTTGTGGAAAACATGCTGTTCACGTCTGAATGAAGTTTGGTGTAGATTTTAATATAAAACTACATTTTAAATTTTATATTTTGTATCCAGGGAACATGTATGGATCTTTTAAATCATCCTTAGTTATGATTTTTAGGGAAAGTACTTGTAACTGTCCAAGTTTTTGAAGATTAATAATAGAGGATGTTATAGTTGCTATTCAACAACATTTAGTTTAAAGTCGTAGGCATTGCTAGTTATGCAATATGTTGATTTGTTGCAGGATATAATTGCTGTTGGTGTTACTAACCAAAGAGAGACAACAATAGTTTGGGACCGAAGCACAGGCAAACCTTTACACAATGCTATTGTGTGGTTGGACATGAGAACCTCTTCTACCATTGACAAGTTGTTGGACACAGTGCCCAATAAGACAAGGAATAAAAATTATTTAAAGGTGAATATTATTTTGATCAATTGGAGAATATTACATGTAATGTCCATAAAAGCAAAAGAAGAAACCACTTTTTTATTTTTTAACCACTCTTTCCTCATAAGATGATTAGCATTTTGTCTGAGAATCCAATTTATTTTCCTTAAGCAAGTTGTAGCAATTATTACCTTATGTGTATTATCGTAAGGTATATTCAATGAAGGAATATTCTTATTATGATCTTACAGCCATTGTGTGGACTTCCTTTATCCCCTTACTTCAGTGCAGTAAAATTAAGATGGCTCAGTGACAATGTTGATGCTATAAAGAATGCTATGAAGAAAGGAACATGTTGTTTCGGAACCGTTGACACTTGGATCATTTGGAATTTGACAGGTAAATATACAGTTACTTGGTATTTATTATAGATTTTTTTAAGGGGGATGAGGATTCATCGAATGACTTCTCCCTTACTCTTACCGACTAAAAACCAACCCGTTCCTACTCCTGCACTTCGAGCCGGAGCCCCGGTTAGGTTTTCCGCGGCTCATTTATTATAGGATGGGATATTATTTGTCCCACAAGCTATTGATATAGATAAGAGTTTTAATTATATTAACTTTTAAAATTTAATTTAATTTTAATATTCTAAAAAAAATTGTAATTGATATACCTATATATTGTACATATTTTCAGGTGGTCCAAATGACGGGAAGCATGTTACTGATGTAACCAATGCATCAAGAACTATGATGATGAATATTGAGAACCTGGACTGGGATCCATTGTTGCTTAAGTTTTTTGAAGTTCCTAAGAGTGTGTTACCAGAAATTAAATCTAGTTCAGAGGTAAGCACCTTTACTGTCAGTGCAGTGTAAATATGATCTACTGCTACAAATTCAACATTGAATAATTTAATAAGTAGTTTGTGAAGCATAAGGTTCCATTGATTGTGGGAAACGAAATATTTGAAATTAATATAAATTGTAGTTGACATAAATTACTAAACAATCGCCCTTTGCTCCTTTCAATCAGCATGAAATATGACTCATTAGGTCAATTTCAATCAATATGTGTCTGTACACTAATTGCTGATAATAGATGGCTGCCAATTAACAAATCTATACATATAATAAAATCGTAGAAAAGTGAAAACTGTACATTGAATATTTTTTTAAAAGAATGCTCGTGGCGTGATCTACAATCGATACCGAAGCCAAAAATATGATTTATAGAATTATTTTTTGTTTGTCTATATGTATATCCGGGGTGAACTCATAAAATGCTGCACGGATTTACCTCAAATTTGCATGAATATTACTAACAAATCGGGTCAACATATAGGCTACATATTATCACGCTGTCCCCTACGGGAGAGGAGCTATGAATCACTCTTCCACACGGACAAAGTCACTGGCACAGCTAGTGAATAGCTAAATACATATGAAACCCTTGTAGTACTGTAACTATTTTGATTTAAAACAAAATCTATAGATAATATTATATATTTTCTTCTTCATAAAATTATTACCCTAATCAGATCCTAGGACTGTTGCTATGTACATATAATATGTATGTATAAAAATATAGGTACCTAATTACTTAATAAGTAGTTCAATTTCTTATTTCATCAACTTTTATGTAATAAGAAATTGTCAATAACATAAACGCTATAAGTAAACAAGTTAAGGATAGAACAGGTGGATGTTGGATAAAATTATTTATATAACACTGTTGCTTTATTCAGGTTTATGGTTACATAGCTGATGGTCCACTGAAAGGTGTACCAATAGCTGGCTGTCTTGGAGACCAACAGGCCGCCTTAGTTGGCCAAATGTGCTTGCAAAAAGGCCAGGCGAAAGCTACATATGGAACTGGTTGCTTTGTTCTTTACAATACGGGCGATATTCGCGTCAATTCTGGTCGAGGTCTGCTGACTACGGTTGCTTATCAGCTAGGAAGCAAAAACCAACCACACTATGCCCTTGAAGGATCAGTAAGTAGTATTTTATTTTTAATTTGCATTGTTATGTGTATTTCAAATCTATGTAAATATAAACAACATTGTTTTATGACAAGCGTTAGTACAAACAAAATGGCTGATTATTTTCATGACCTTTGATACAATGGATTTATCCTTGCCTTATGTAACAGAATACGTATGAAAACATAAAAAATAACGCGTAATAAGTGTTTATTGATAGAAACGGTGCAAAGTTCGCTAGAGTACAAACTGTTAAAAACCTTCAAGTCATTATCAGTAAAATCGTTTTTTTTTATGGCTTAAGCCGGTAAACGAGCAGACGGATCACCTGATGGTAAGCAATCGGCGTCGCCCATGGACACCTGGAACACCAGAGGCGTTACATGTGGGTTATCGGCTTTTTGGGGATTAGGAGTTTGAGGATCGATGGGGATTCAGGGATTGGGGAGATTGGGGAAGGGGAGGGTAATTGGGCCTCCGGTAACCTCACTCACACGACGAAACACAACGCAAGCGTTGTTTCACGTCGGTTTTCTGTGAGGCCGTGGTATCACTCCGGTCGAGCCGGCCCATTCGTGCCGAAGCATGGCTCTCCCACACTTATCTGATTATATTTATTATAATTTATGGATTATGTTGTAGGTAGCTGTTGCTGGAGCTGCTTTAGGATGGCTTAGAGATAATATTGGCCTTTTGGAAAGTGCCAAGGACTCTCAGGGTATAGCTGAGAAAGCTACAGAAAATGGTAGTGTTGTATTTGTACCTGCCTTCAGTGGTTTGTATGCACCGTATTGGCGTCAAGATGCTAGAGGGTATGTACTGCATTTAATTCAATTTATAAATACCTACATACATTACACAGTTGTTTATCTTACTAACTTCAATAGGTATTTTTTAAATGTGAGATTAACAATGTAATTAGAAAAATGTAGGATTTTTTTGTCTTTCCTAAAATTCCTTAGTAAAGTTTTATGCAGCAGTAACTTCTGTGCGTTTTTTCATAATTATTTAAAACTAAAATATTTTGTGTTGTTTTAGACAATTATTTATTTATAAATTATTTAATATAGTTAGTAATCTTGTCACTCAATCGATAATTAAAATTTCCAGTGTTATATGTGGAATATCTGAAGATACAAACTCCAATCACATTGTAAAGGCTGCCCTCGAAGCTGTCTGTTATCAAGTGCGGGATATCCTCGATGCTATGAATGAAGACTGCGGTATTCCTCTGCAACTACTTAAGGTATTTAAACACTTTACATTTATATCTTAAAACCTAGTGTTACATCATCACTGTCATGGCCACCATCATCATGAACCAATGCATTTAGTCATCTATTCAGAAGTTCTGATCGACAACTCACCACTTGCTTCCAATATCTCTTCATGACTCTTGACGATTTCTGCGATCCAACTAGCGGGAGGCCTGCCTTGTATGACTTTCGGCTCCTATGAACCAACCAATCAGAGCTAGACTGATGGTGGGCTCGTTTTGATCTCTTCAAACGTATAACTAACTCGTACAACGCGCCCTCCTCGGCTTATCGGCCGTCAGTACTTCGAGCGATGTAGCCTTAATATTAGTAAACAAGCTATTTATAAATACTTAGGATTAATATGCATTTCTATTTGTTTCCCGTTCCCAATAGAGTTTAAATATTGACCACTTTTTATCTGGTAATGCAATTGAAACTGGCGATACAAGTTAGTGCAAAATCAGTTTCGACAGAGTCTATAACGCCTATTAACAATCATCCTAATGTGTATGTATCTGAAGATATTTGCTCTTGTAACCACTAGAAGGAATAATTTTAGTATAATGCACTTTTTTACACAATAACAAAACAATAAAATTAAGGATTAATCAAATTTTAATTTTACGTTTTCCAGGTGGACGGTGGCATGACTTCTAATGCTCTAGTCATGCAAATGCAAGCTGATTTGATCGGAATCAACGTAATAAGGGCTGGATTTACTGAGAGCACCGCTTTAGGGGCAGCGCTTTGTGCCTATTGGGGAGTGGAGCCTTCTAAGCAAGGGTCTCCTATACCAATGACCAGTGGAACTACATATACCTCTCTTATCACCGACGACGAACGAGATATGCGATACAAACAGTGGAAGATGGCTGTCGACCGATCCCTAGGATGGGAACAAAACTAAGTACCTAATGAATCGAAATTCTAATACTAATAATGCCTTACACATTAATCAAAGCAATAACATTTCATATACAACTGTTACATATTTATATACAATTATTTTTTTAAATGTGCAATACAGAGACTGATAAGTACGATAATATTAAATTAAATTCTAACTATATTTAATTGGACACAATTGACAATAGTAGATTCACTACAAATAGGTACAAATGTGTTTATTTAGATAGCATTATCTTCGATACAAAAAATAAGTGTTCATAAAATAAAAAATACAGATATTTTGTAGGACAATTAGTAGACAATGTTGTAAATTGTAAACTTTGTTTCATTCATATACATTAGCTTTTTGTTCAGTTTACACGCCAAACATCCATTTTGGAGTTTGAACGTTTACTTTAATAAAATAAAATAATTATATAGATAGAATTAACTTCTAAACAACATGAGATACAATACTACGGCCTAAATTGTCTAGTCTATAAGTGTCATATTTGCTTAAAGTAACTTTTAAAACCTTGTCATGCCTTATTTACAGAATATGATATTTATTTCGTGTTTAAAATTGATTTTATTGCTAGATGTTTTCTAGGCTGCTCCGTTGTTCGAGTGATCGTAAGTGCGACTGTCGAGTAAGGGATTTCGAGACGATGCTCGGGTTTAGCAAAGTATTAATGTTTAATTTCGAAAAGTCAGTTACACAATAAAATCTGGTATTTTTGGCTGCCTGCAGTAGGTCCCTATGACTTACGATTCATAGCATAAGTAGTAAAAAGTGGTTGTTATGTAGTATATGTATTGTGTAGTTGTACCTATTGTTTCCGGGATTAAAAGACGTGATGTTGCTATTGTTGTTCATAATTTTACTTACATTACAATACGTTTTTTATCTTCAAAGTAAGCAAAGTAGACCATTAGTGGGCCACGTTTTACGTGTTTATGTATATTATATATGTTTAATTTACTATTGTTGTCGAGTTATTAAATCAGTTTTGGGTCCTGTTTTATTAGAAGTTTTAATGTTATTTAGTTGTATATTTTAAATGAAATGACAAATACATATTATGGTACGAACTGCTGAATTTTGTATATAACATGTAGTAGGTAATATAGATATACAATTTTATCGTATTTTTAATGAATGATGTAACCTTGTTTTTTTTAAGTAAAAGACAAATGGTTATTGCCACATTGAAAGTACGTAATGTATTAACTTGATAACTCAGAATCAATAAATCTGTTGCAGCAAACTATCTTAATTTGTTCAACCTCGCTAGCTATGTCATTGAATGGCTGAATTTCACATTATGGCTGTTTGTTTAAGAATGAAAAGATTGCCATTACCATCGAATTGATACTAGTCACCTTGTACACACTATACTAGGTCACCATCACAAATAAACAGGTACCGGGATAATTTCAAAAACATTATTGAAACACCTATAATTATATGGTATATGGCAATAGGCTCACCTCCTATTATATGGGGCTCATAACATGAAAAGTGGGTGTTACATCCTACTGTTGCATTAAGTGCCGTAATGTGCACCTCTGCCTATCCCTTCGGGGGTAAATAGCGTGATTTTATGTTGTATTTAAACACCGATTTAAGTTAGTTGGCTGCGATATATTCCGTATATTGTAAGTTGGTAATTCACTGTTTTCAATAAATAAGGATTTTGTTCTCAATTATGAATTGTGTTTAAAAGAACAATAATTTATTTTAAAGGTTATTTTTATTCACTTTTTATGTATTCACCATTTTATGACTAAATAATGCAGTTTTCTTAATTTTTATGCATTACTTGTACAATCAATATTGAACTTTAAAAGTTTTCATACGTAGGTGTAACTTGTACGAAACGAAAAAAAAAATGGTTTGAGATTCATTTTTGCCCTTTAAAGCTCACAATCATAATAAATTATTGTGTTATCTTTATCACACAAAGAAAGGGTTGCTATAATACTAAAATTCTTTTATGTTTTTACGTGTAAGTTTTATTTAACTAAAGTTGAAGTGTTGGTGTTTATGGAAATGCTATTTTCAGCCAATTTTACTTTTTGGAAACTGTGTAGGCACACTAGTTATTCGTTTTACGAATCGTGATACTAAAAATACTTAATTTTCTTTTATCTGATACAAAAAAGGACATTATCCTCCCTTCTTTCACTAGAAGCTAGTTAAAAAAACTTAACATTGTTTAAAAATAGTATCTATTCGGTATAGTCTATTGTACAGTATACACATTTGGCAAAGGAACACATTACCTCTACAACGAATGGTCTCTCAACCAAACAACCAATCAGAGAACCAATAAAAGTAATTGTCAGTGATGACGTAATCGTGCGTCACGTGACTACTAGGATTGATAATATACATGTTAATCGTGGGTAAAATCGTAGGTAAATTGACATTCCATTCCTTATAAAGATTGATTCGGTTTATGTTACTCTAATTGTATCTATCTATTTACCTAAACGTACAATAATCTGTGATCGAATAATATTTTACCTATAATACGTATATTATGTAATTTAAACAAAATGGCGCCAGCTTTGCCTTATGCATCGTTGTTAATGAACAACTTATAATAATTACATGCGTAGTTGTTGAATAATATTAATCGTTATGAGAAATTGAATCAGTAAGTACATGAAATAAAAATGAAGTTATCTATGGAGAAAGAGATACAGATTTGAATATGTTGATTTTTGAAAACATTTACCACATGAAAAATAAAAAGCTTTGATTGATTGAGTAGTATTTTGGTTTTAATAAAGTTGAAGAAAGCTCAAAAATGTTCGTTGCTTCATTTCTATTACTGGTTTGTTACGAGTCAAAGTAAAACGCAAGTGGTCTTACGCTCCGATTGCCGGGTGGCGAAAATACGTAGAAATATTGAGACCGGTACATCATATGAAAGCTAACGTACATTTAACACCGACCCTGTGTTGTTAAGTGTACAAAAATGGTTTTATAAAATGATTGAATGATTTAAACTTTATTTTATAAGCATATGAACAATATAAACACTTAAAAAAGTTACAGATACAAACTATACTTGGGAATAAAAAAATGGATCCACTAGCGTCTTTTCTTTTGCATTTCTTGATAAATATTTTATGATACCACTACCTCATCGTTCGCTTAAAAAAATTGACGTGTAAAAGTGCTGCCTTGTAGCCCATTTGCAGTAATAAATTCACTTGTTTCACTTGATACAAGTATTATATTAATTGGTAACGTACGTCGTATAAAAGGCAATCTAGTTACCTATAAAATGAGAGCATTTTGTTTAAAAAAAATAAATGTATTTTTTTAAAGTTATAAAAGGTCCGATAAAATGTAAAAAAACCGCTGGTGGCTCCGTTTCTTAGCTCCTAAGAGTCCCCTTGCCGTTCTTAAAGTCTAAATAGAACAGAAAATATTAAAAGTTAATACAATAAAGTCAACAAAATTACAGTATGTAGTTCTAAAGTAAAATGGTTTTGACTTTTGAAAATATTTTAAAACATGAAATTAATTACCTATACTTTTACATAATAAAAAATCGGTAGTTAAATAGTTTAAAATATGTGATGAGATATCCATATCTATCTATACATATAATAAAATCGTAGGAAAGTGAAAACTACAACTAATATTTTTTTTTTAAAGAATGCTTTGGGCTTTATCTCTAATCCAATCGAATCCAATACCAAAGCCAAAAATAGAATTTTTGTCTGTTTGTCTGTATGTATGTCCCGAATGAAGTCATAAAGTGCTGCACGGATTTACCTCAAATCTTGCATGAATAGAACTGATAGGTCGGGTCGACATATAGGCTACATATTATCACGCTACCACCTACGGGAGAGCTGTGAATCACTCTTCCACGTGGACGTAGTCGCGGGCTCAGCTAGTCCGTTATACATATATATGTCTGTTATACATACACATTCATCTAGGTTAGGAAATAGTGGGACTAACCTTACCTACAAGGGTTGGCAAAAAGTTTTGCGAAGAGTTATGGACGTCTAGACTTAGGGTGCGTCCACATCTCGCGAATGTGCCATTTTACGTTTAAATAATAATAATTTTAATTGCACGCGGGCGGTTCGCGAGCTTCTCACATGCTGCTCATTTGCGGAGCATTCGCCAGATGTAGGCGCACCCTTAAGAAAGCAATGTTATGTGTCCATACAAACTCAAAATTTAATCACGTATAACTGTATAATTAAAGACATTTTTGAAATTGTTGTTGCTTCGACAGTATTTTGCGTAGTCAATACGTATTTGAACGTACTTTATTTCATTGAACGAAGATTAGATAATGTTTTGAAATTGGAGCAACGAAGTATCTTAATAAGAAACGAATTGTGTGACAGGGAATGTTTATTAAACTGTTGGTCCTTAAGAACCACCATATTTAAAAGACCTTTAGAGTTAGTGGGTTGGTTATTATGGTTATTTATTAAATCATGTATTCTTTACCTATATCGATCATGATTATTGGTCACGCGATAATTTTAGTCTCCTTGCTAAATATATTTTCAGACATCGGAGATCGAAACATGCTGCAATATTACCACAATAATTATAGTATCGATAACATCTTTATAGTGACAAAATTAACGTGTGTGCCAATACTAAGGCTCCTGCCACACTAGAGATGAACCAACTCAGTTTTTAACCGAGTTATTTTGCGAAACTAGAAATCGAATACAAACGGCCGCACTTGCGATCTTGTCTCACTCCCATTTCCCAATACATTTGAACGCCCCGTGGTTAAAAACTGTGTGGTTCCGCTCTAGAGTGGCCGAGGCATAAAAAATAAAATAAATGAATACTAATTTATGTAGATAGGTACATTACTAGCGGTTTAGTAATTTTTAAATCCAATTTTATTTTTCCTATGCCTAGGTTGTTCCGCCGTACTCAAAGTAATTTAATTGATAATACGGTATTTTACAACTAATCAAATTCAATACTTTTATCGAAACGACAAAAACGATACTATT